ACAGAGCAGCAGAGGCAAACATTCCCGGTACCGTGGTGTGCACGCCATGGAGACCAGATCCAGGCTCGAGCAGCAGGTAGCTGAGCTAGTGCAGACATTGAAGCAGCCCAACAGTCTTATTCCGGGCAGAGGTTTGGCTACTCCTCCAGTTGCTCACTGTTAGTAGTGTGAGAGCTCGAATCACTTAGTGGAAGACTGCAGGCTATGAGGGAGTCTACTACTCCCCAAGAGCAGTTGGACTTCATCGCCAATGCTCGGCGCCTCGACCCATACAGCAACACATATAATGAGGGGTGGCGCCAGCATCCCAACTTCTCTTGGGGCAGCAACACCACTAAGCCACCTGGTTTTCCAGCACCAGCTGGTGGTTTTCAGCAGAGGCAGCCCTTCCAGGCTCGACAGGGGCCAGCCCCACAGCAGCAGCCCTACCAGCCTAGGCAGGGGCAACCATTCCAACAGCCCCAGCGTCAGTTTGTCGAGCCAGCAGCAGCCCCTGCCCCAGATGACCGGATGACAAGCTGGAAAATATTCTAGCTTCATTCATGACTAGCACTCAGGCTGCTATCACGTCACTGGAGGCAGGTCAGCGGAACCAGGGTGCCATTTTGCAAGATCTGCAGACCTAGGTGGGCATCTTGGCCCGCCAAAACACCGCCAGGGCACCGGGGACTCTACCTGCCACCACTGTTCCGAATCCTCGTGATCCTCACCAGCTTCAGCAGTTGGATGCCATTTTTACCATGAGCGGTAAGACCATATCTGCTGATCCTGTCCCGGCCAGGCAGGAGGAACCACTACCTGCTTCAGCACTTCCAGCCGACGATGCTGAAGTGCGGGTGGAGAATGAAGCCCCTGCTCTTAAGCCACAACCAGTGGTTAAGGAGCATGTACCCCAGCTTCCCTTCTCTACTCGCCTACACAAAGACAAGCTGGAGACTGAGTTTGCCAAGTTTATGGCAATGTTGAAGCAGCTCAACATCAGCATACCATTCGTGGAGGCACTGTCGAAGATGCCCAAGTATGCCAAGTTCATGAAAGACCTCCTCGCCGACAAGAAGAAACTTGGGGATCTCTCGACAGTGTTACTAAGCGAGGAGTGTTCTGCTATCCTGCAGAACAAGCTGCCCGAAAAGCGCAAGGATCCAGGGAGTTTTACTATCCCTCTTACTATTGGCAGCATGCATGTAGGCAAGTCCTTGGCGGACCTAGGCGCTAGCATAAATGTCATGGCATATAAGTTGTATAAAAAGCTAGACCTAGGTGAACTTAGCCCTACTAGGATGAGCATTCAACTAGCTGATCGTTCCATTGTGCATCCTAGGGGAATCATAGAGGATCTGCTTGTCAGTGTCTGTGCATTCACATATCCTGTTGATTTTGTTATTCTTGATATACACGAGGATGTGGATGTGCCTTTGATTCTGGGGAGACCATTTCTTGCCACCGCCAAGGCACTTATTGATGTGCATGATGGTAAACTGATCCTGCGTGCTGGGAATGAACAGGCTACTTTTTCTGTGACTGAATTTGACCACTGTGCTATGATTGCTGTCACGCCTGTACATGCCATTTCTGATCAGGTACACGAGCCTGTCGTGTATCCTTCTGCACCTCTTATTTTGCAGGACCCGCCTATCATTCCTTCGCCGCCACTCCATCCAGTCTCGCCTCCGAACAAAAAGATCAAGGAGGAGTGGCGGCCGAAGCAGCAGGTTGCTAAGCCTGCACGGAAGAAGGGTGGAGACCACTATGAGCTGGTCCCACCTCCTGCACCACGACCACCCTGGCCGTCAGGGTACTCACTCGCCTGCATCTTGCCAGATGGCCAGATCGAGCTGACCAATGATGGTGGTCGCATCCGTCGGGTGCATGGCCACAACCTGAAGCTGTACCTCAAGAGCGACGTGGATCCGCTCTTGGAGGCACCTGTTCCTGCACTTCCCTGAGTATCCACCATGGGCGTCCAGCTAAAAGACGGTAAAGAAGCGCTTGTGGGGAGGCAACCCCACCACGGTTTGACTTTCTTTCTTTTGTTATGAGTCGGATTGTAAACCGGTTTGGTTTTGGTTTGTTTTCTTTTGTTTTGGATGATGTATTATTGGGCTGACCATTGGACCTAACATATTGTGCTTGAGCTCTTTGGTTTCCTTTAGCTGTGCTTGTTGTAGACACCACTTTTTGTCCGGGTTAACATATTTAATCATTTAAAATTTAGTTTTGTTTAAGATTGGTAATAGCAAATCTTGAACAATCTTCTAACTAAAGTCGTATTTATAGTGGTTAAGATGGGATGTGTTTGCCATAACTTAACGAGATTAAGTAATAGCAAATCTCAATCGATACACTTGATATTGAGAGTTGAGATGTTTTGCTTCAGTTTCACAAATTAGACGATTTGATAGTTTTGGGAGTTAGACGATTTGATAGTTTTGTGAGTTGGTCTTTTGTTTGGTTATTAAGACTTCGGATCTAGTGAGGATTGTACCTCAATTTCGAAAGATGGAAGAGAAATAAAAATACATAAGAAAATTGGAATTAAATCAAACATAAATAAAAATTATAATCACAATGTTATTCCATAATAATTCATAATAATTGCTAAATAACTATTACATTAAATTACATAACAGAAGACAATAGATGACATTACTAAATTAGGCTAAAATCATAGCCCAAAGTCAACCATTAGTCAACGGGTCAATATAGTCAAACCGGTTGGTCTGACCAATCCCAAACCGGTCGGACCCAAAACCGGTACCGTGGAAATCTTGCTCCCCAAGCTGCCATTGTCCTATTAAAGAACCCTTTGGGCTCTTGCAGAAGGGGGGATCCCGGCCTCCCTTATTACAGAAGACAGAGACTCCCTCTCTCTTCCTCTTCTTCTTCTTCTTCTTCTTCATCTCTTTATTCTTCCACACTCCCCCTCAAACACAGAGATAAACGAGAGAAAGTGAAAAATCCCCAACATCCTCTCTTCCTTCCTCCTCTTCTTCTTCCCTTACTAAACATACAGAAAGAAAGAGTCAGATTAGAAAGGACAGACTTCCTTCTTCCCTTCTCATAGAAACAACAACAAAATTCCTCTCCACTTCCTCTTTCTCTGATCCAAAAACACAGCAGACAACTCTGCAAAACCTTCCACTACTTCCTCTCTAAAACACACTACAGCAACCCGAAAATTCCAAAGAAAAACCATCCACAGAAACACAATGGCAGCAAAAATACCCACAGAAAGAAGTTAAGAAGCTCCAACTCTTCCTCAAACTTCAAAACTCAAGGTTGGTGGCTCGAACTGAATCCTTCCTTCTATTTCCATCATCATTCAAAGTTTCTCTTATCAAAAGAAACTCAATCAACCCTATTCAATCTACAAGCTGGCTGATTTTGTTTAAAAGAGGGATATACTCAATCTACTCCAAGCAAATTACAACCTGACTAATTTCATCTACTTATCATTATCGTTGTACTATATCAGTTCCTTTTCTCATTCAAGCAATTAATCACTACCATCATCTACCTGTATACATTCATCTTTCTATTTAAGTCCCTTTTTCCATTTATAAGCACTTACCATTATCATCATCCTTGTATTTATTTGTCCCCTCGCTCTATTTATAAAAATTACATAGCTTACAAATATCTTCGTTCAAGTTAGCTTATGTATATATTTTTACAGCTATTAATAATCTACTAATAGCAGTATAGCCATATGTTTCATCTATCATCTCATTTAAACTTCCACCACGTTAGTATGAAGTTACATCATTGCATACATATGCAAAACAAAGCTAACACCACTAATAATTCACGGAATATAAAGCAAAAGGCTATAATCCCAATCACTAATCAATTTTCAGAATCGACAGCATCATGAACAACATAAACTTCTAGAATCTAAAACCCCCACAAACCAACCCATCAAGTTGCAGTTTGAGCAGGATCCCAAAGCAAGTGCTAAAACCCATTCTCAACTAAAACTAAACATTTACCACAACCTCCCAAATTGAATTCGGCGCACATATACACAGCATAGCTCTCCAGATTCACACACAGCATAAAGAACACAAATTTCCCCCAATTCATCTCCAAATCATCACAATCCAACATTAAAATCTACCATAAATCCCCAGAATCTTGCCACTACCGCCACAAAACTAGATTTCTAGAATTCAATACCACAAATACGAATTTCAAGTAGCATTTACTTCATGCATACCATCAACTCCATTATCAAATCACCCCCAAACTCATACAAATTACAACCCAGATCCTAAACTGAAAAACTTACCAAAACCAAGTTCCCTCATTTTGTCATCATCGTTGCTGGCGAAGCTCAGAGCTGTCGACGGCGTCCCTGTTCTTCCTTTCGTTTCGTTCTCGCTGCTTCTTCCCCTCGTCATGATCGAAAACCCCCAAAACCACTATATATACCGAAAACCAAAATCCCAAAAATAACAAAACACAGTCAGAACCCTAAACCCGAAAAGATCGAATCACCAAATAAATCAAAATCGCCAAATGAAACCCCAAAAATGACATGCAACCCGAAAATACCCACCTCCATTGTCATCATCGCTTCTGGCGTCGGAACTCGCCGTCACCTTTGACGGAATAGGAAAGATCGATTCCATTCTTACCTTTCTCTCTTTCCCCTCTTCGATCCCATAGAGAACTGGGGATTATTTTGCCTGGTTCGTTGTTTTACAAGTTTGGAATGGTCTTGTTCATTGCATTAGCAGAGAAGAAGATAAGAGAGAGCGAGATTAGGGAAAGAAGAGAGGGGTGAGCGGCCGGTTTTGAGTAGCAATTGGGGTTTCGTTAAGTTTAAGAGGATTTAATTTATCATTTATATACCTCACCCATTATCCTCCTTCCCCTGAAAACGAACCATTTACACAAACTGTTTAACAATTATTATTTACCAAGCTTAAGCACTCACTTACTCTCACTTCTTTAATAAGGCTTAATACGAAATCACTAATCAATAGATTGTGATTACTGATTAGAACCATCATTTTTTAAAATGGAGTAGACATCACTTACCTCCCAACACGTATTCCATAATCTCCTATTATGTCGTATCAATTATTCATCTAATAATGAAACCACATATCAATAAAACATGTGTGTTTTTGTCATATGCTAAAATTCCCTCCGATCACCAACCACTAAATTACCAAAATTCATTTTCTAAAAGTTTATAATTATTATCTTAATCACGATCAATAGAACGTGTTGAGATCACATCATAATTCACACCTGTTTTAAAACAAACTACGTGGACTTTGATCCCGACTAAGTCGGGTACGTAGGCAACCAATAGGTTCGAGTCCAACTATTAAAAAAAAACTCTTTCTTTACATTTTACCTCATTGAATCTGATAATTAAATACATCAATAAAGCCGCAAATAATGAAACACCCAACCTTTAAAAAAACTTATCGATTTAAGTAGTACCCATTTGGGGCGTTGTGGGGTGTGAATACACTTCCCCACACGTAACCGTACTCCTGAACCCAAATTACTAAATTTCGCAGACCAAATTTCGGTTTCGACGCTAAGGTCGAGATCGGTCCAATTAGTGTTCGACCCACTACGAATAAGGTCGATGGCGACTCCGAGCGGTTCGCGACGGGTATCCCGATCTCGAGGGGCGGTTGCGACACTTGTCTTGACTGGTTCTCTATCCAGTCCGCTTCACTCCGACTGGTCCGCTTCCAGTCTCCTGCAGCCCGTGTATACCGGTAACATCGTTCCCCTTTTCCTTCCCTCTTCTCCATTGAGGGCAATGTCGATCTTAAGTGTGGGGGGATGTTTATCTTTTGACTGTATTAGATCTGTTTGTGTGCTTGGAGCCTAGTCCACTGTCCAAATTTTTAAATTTGAGGGCTCCAAGTACGTGTTTCCATGCAATTGCCTGCTCAGTATGCTTTGAATTGACAGTCTTTATAGTAATATGCAACCTAGGGAGGTAGTGTAGCACTATGGAGGATGTTGATGCATTTAAGAAGTCTCATTTCTTCTTCATATTGTGTTGGTTGATTGAGTGAATTAGTGATCTTAGGACCCTTGAATTGTGTGGTGTTGTGGATTCTCTACCTGTCATGGACTCTTGTATCATGTTTTGAGTTTAACAGGTGCTCGAAAATGGGTTTCAAAATAATGTCTCCCGTGCGAATAGGGCGAAAGTGTGTAAGGGGAGACGGGAATTCGTTCCCAATTTCCACCTACTACCTCCAGCCCCCTTACATGTCTTTCCCCCGCACGAGGCTCGAGACATCCGCTCCTGGCATGGCCGGTAAGAGCCGGGCTCCTGCAAAACCTCTGCTAGGTGGGAGCCCCCATTTTCTGAAAAGCAGGTTGGGACCCTTGAAAAAAAAAAGAAAAGAAAAAATAACAGAAAACAAGCAAAACAGAAAGAAAAGGGGTTCCAACCATCTTCAAAGAAAATAGAGCACCTTGAAAAATGTGAGTCCATGATCCTTTGTTTTTGAGAATCTCTTCATCCACGATTCATTTGTCCTCTGTTCACTATTTGCCATGATGCCGACTCGATACTAGTGTTCTCGCTGAAGAAGCTATGAGATGACTTGTGCGTCGGTTGACCTCGTAAGTTGCTAAATGATCTAGGAAGTCCTCTACCTACGATCTGGGTTGTTTGTTGCTATAGAGGTCTGGAGAGTTGCATTGGTTTGAGTTAGGTTTTCTTGGGGACAAGCAAACGGTTAAGTGTGAGGGAATTTGATAACGATGTAATTGCACATATTTGCGCCCCTAGTTCTTATCCGTTTGAGGGGCATAGTCGTGTGTTTTTGGCCTATTTTACGCCGGGTTGCGCTATTTTGTCATATTTCAGGTCCCAGGCGTCAAAGGAAAGGCTAAGCATCAGTTTCGGGGCATTCAGAAGTCATTTCGTCAAGCTGGAGCCAAAACACGGGCACACCTAAAAAAGAACACGGCCGTGTTCTGTGGCCGTGCTTTTACTGCCGAGAGCTAATTGAGTTTGGCAAATTCAAGATGCAAAACACGGGCTGAAAGCATGGCCGTGTCCACCCAAAGCACGACCGTGTCCTCCCAAAAGCACGGCCGTGTTTCTCCCAACACAATGGCCGTGTAATTAACCCTAGCCAAAGCACGGGCGGGCTGAGGCATTACACGGCCGTGCCCTCGACCGTGCTTTGGCCACTGATGCCCTTTTAAGCAGATTTCAGCCAAAACAGAAGCGGATTCGAGTTTTGAGAAAGATAGGCGATTCCTAGAGAGAGAAAGTGACGAACAAGAGTCTCCAAGTGCCCTAGCTTGATCTTCAACACCATTGGAGGCCAGTTTGAGCTTGGAGAAGTGCCGACCAACGTCCAGGAGCAGGAATCCATCCTTCACAGTATGAATTCCGCGTCTGATTCTGCTTTTGCTTCTTTCTCCATGGAGTAGTTCTCCCATTCATCTGGGTATGGAGAACCCTAGATTTGTATGTTAGGCTTTGATTGTATGAACCCAACTACTGATTCTATGATTTGATTATATTCGATTGAGGTTTGAATGATTGAATGACTTGAATCCTGATCAAATTCCTGTTGTTTCTGCTTTAACCTAGAATGAGAATATCTGCCTAGGTTGATAGAACACCCTTAATTGAAGGTAGGGAGTTGGTGACTTTAGTCGAGGAGCCAACTCACTATTCTGTACCGGATTCACTCCGGTAGTGGAGGTTTTGTTTGTTAAGGCCTCAATCTGTTTACTCCGGTGGAGGTTAGTCGCCCGCTAGAGACTCGGATTGAGAGGGTCTGAAGACCTTTAGTCGAGACTTTATGCTGTTTAAGAACCTTCCGCAGTATAACTATCATAGAAACTGAACTTGGTAATTACAATCTGGCTTAACTGCAGTCTAGGGGGAACCATATCCGGGTGACCTCTCTTAACCTGAATACAACCGTTTACTTGCTTTGTTAATTTGTTAGTTTAGACTTGCATTAAAGTTTCATTGCTAGATAACAAGAATTCACTGAGTAGTCATCAAATCTAGGACCCGGGTTGACATTTAAACCCAAACCCGCTATACTACGCTTTAGGAAGTGGTTTCACTTGGCCAATTCCTGGAGTGACAGTAAAAGTGAGTCATCGGGTGTGAGGGTCTAGCTGATGATGACTGGCAGCTTATTCCCTTCCTGGAGAAATGCATACTCCAAATGAGGAGGGAGGGGCTTAAGCTCCAGCTCTGGTGGTTCCTCCAAGTAAGTAGCAATGCGGGTGGAGGATGAGAACGGTTTGAACAGCCTGTCGCCCTCCAAGAAGGGGCCACTCTCCAACTCGGCCAACTGCTCTGCCAGCTGCGGCTCCTGCGATGCCTGCTCACCTAGCAAAATACAACGCTCAAGAGCATCGTCAGTACCCGCAAAAGATATAGCGAGTGCGGTCTCAAAATCAGTAAGCATATCATAATAATCTATATCATCATGCAAATGAGAGTGTTTCCCATTCTCAAACACTGAGAAAGTAGCATGTTCATCACAAGCACGTAGAATCAATTTACCACTATGCACATCAATAAGCGCCTTGGCGGTGGCGAGAAACAGTCTACCCAAAATCAAAGGTACATCCACATCCTCATTTATATCCAAAATAACAAAGCCAACAGGATATGTGAATGCACCCACATTAACAAGCAAGTCCTCAATGATACCCCTAGGATGCACGATAGAACGATCAGCTAACTGAATGCTCATCCTAGTAGTTCTAGGTTCACCTAGGCCTAGCTTCTTAAACAATTTGTAAGGCATGACATTTATGCTAGCGCCTAGGTCCGCCAAGGACTTTCCTACATGCATGCTGCCAATAACAAGAGGGATAGTGAAACTCCCTGGGTCTTTTCGCTTCTCGAGCAGCTTGTTCTGCAGGATAGCAGAACACTCATCGCTCAGAATCACTGTCGAAAGATCCCCAAGTTTCTTCTTGTTGGTGAGGAGGTCCTTCATGAACTTGGCATACTTGGGCATCTTTGACAGTGCCTCCACGAACAGCATGCTGATGTTGACCTGCTTCAACATTGCCATGAACTTGGCAAACTCAGTCTCCAGCTTGTCTTTATGTAGGCGAGTGGGGAAAGGAAGCTGGGGTACATGCTCCTTAACCACTGGTTGTGGCTTGGGAGCAGGCGTTTCTTTGTCTTCCCCCACTTCTGCAGTATCAGCTGGAAGTGTTGAAGCAGGTAGTGGCTCATCTCGACTGGGCTGGGCAGGAGCAGCTGATGTGGTCTTGCCACTCCTGGTAGTGATGGCATCAAGCTGCTGGTGCTGGTGAGGATCACGAGGATTCGGAATAGTGGTGGCAGGCAGAGTCCCCGGTGCCCTGGTAGTGTTTTGGCGGGCCAAGATACCCACCTGGTTCTGCAGATCTTGCAAAATGGCACCTTGGTTCCTATGACCTGCCTCCTCTGAGGCTATGCTCTGGTCCAACCTGGTGACAGTTGCCTGAGTGCTAGTCATGAATGAAGCTAGAATATTTTCCAGCTTCGTCATCTGATTATCTAGAGCCGGAGCTGATGCTGGCTCGACATACTGACGCTGGGGCTGCTGGAATGGTTGCCCCTGCCTAGGCTGGTAGGGCTGCTGCTGTGGGGCTGGCCCTTGTCGAGCCTGGAAAGGCTGCCTCTGCTAAAAATCACCAACTGGTGCTGGGAAACCAGGTGGTTTAGTGGTGTTGCTGCTCCAAGAGAAATTGGGATGCTGGCGCCAACCCTCATTATATGTATTGCTGTACGGGTCGAGGCGCCGAGCATTGGCGATGAAGTCCAACTGCTCTTGGGGAGTAGTAGACTCCCTCATAGCCTGGCAGTCTTCCACTAGGTGATTTGAGCTCTCACACCACTGACATTGAGCTACTGGAGGTGTAGCCAACCAAACCTTTGCCCGGAATAAGACTATTGGGCTGCTTCAATGTCTGCACTAACTCAGCTACCTGCTGCTCGAGCCCGGATCTGGTCTCTATAGCGTGCACACCACGGTCCCGGAAATGTCTTCCTCTGCTGCTCTGCCCCAAGAATGATCTCTGGCAGCCAAGGTATTGATCATCTGGTTAAGCTCGGGTGGAGTCTTAGTAAGAATATCCCCTCCTGGGCATAGAGACTCAGTCACCCTCTGGCTGTCCGGAGAGAGAGCACTGTAGAAGTTCCCCACTGTGAATGCATCACTGAAGCCATGATGGGGACACTGCCAGAAATATCCCATGTACCGCTCCCATGCATCACGAAGTGACTCATCTGGCTCTTGGCGGAAGTGAGTGATCTCTCGCTGGACAATGAGGGATGGGTCTCCAACCACCTCTTAGCATTCCCCGCCAGAGAATGGGGGAAAAGATGAAGGCGGATTGTATCATCGGGGACACCGTTCAGCTTGAACCCGTTCGTCAGCTGCAGAAAACGGGAAAGATGTACCCTGGCCTCCTTATCCTTCAAGCCATGGAACTGGATAGAGGATTTAATAAGCTAATCCAGCATGGCTTGATCTCGAAGTTGTTTGCTGGAATAGGCGGGTAGAGGATGACCGGGCGGATGTCAGCAATCCGTGGAGTGTAGTAGTACTCCAAGGTGGGACCCGGCGGCGGTGGATGATGATGAACCCCATATGCCTGGGGTATGGGGTTGTTCCCCATGACCTGATTCACCGGGGGAGCCTGCTGAGGATTCCCCTAGTGTGGATTGTAATCTCCGTCCATCCCATACTCTTCCGTAGCCAGTCTAGCTCGCTGTTGTCTCCTGAGTTGGCGACAGGTGCGGTCAATCTCTGGATTCAACGGCAGTAAACCTCCCGACTGGCTACGGGTCATGCACTACCTGCACACACTCAAACAAGCAAACCCGTGAAGGCACAAGTGGGACAAAGCAAACAATGCGAAAAGAAAAGCTAAATTAACAGAAATCACTTTTCTTCAACAACCTAACCGTCCCCGGCAACGGCGCCAAAAACTTGACTCACTCCTACTGTCACTCTAGAAATTGGCCAAGTGGAACCACTTCCTAAAGCGTAGTATAGCGGGTTTGGGTTTTAATGTCAACCCGGGTCCTAGATCTGATGACTACTCGGTGAATTCTTGTTATCTAGCAATAAAACTTTAGTGCAGGTCCAAATTAACAAACAAACAAAGCAAGTAAACGGTTGTTTTCAGGTTAAGTGAGGTCACCCGGATATGGTTCCCCCTAGACTGCAGTTAAGCCGGATTGCAATTACCAAGTTCAGTTTCTATGATAGTTATACTGCGGAAGGTTCTTAAGCAGTCTGAAGTCTCGACTAAAGGTCTCCAGACCCTCTCAATCTGAGTCTCTAGCGGGCGACTAACCTGCACCGGAGTAAACAGATTGAGGCCCTAACAAACAAAACCTCCACTACCGAAGTAAATTCGGTACAGAATAGTGAGTTGGCTCCTCGACTAAAGTCACCAACTACCTACCTTCAATCAAGGATGCTCTATCAACCTAGGCAGATATTCTCATTCTAGGTTAAAGCAGAAACAACAGGAATTTGATCAGGATTCATGCCATTCAATCATTCAAACCTCAATTGAATATAATCAAATCATAGAATCAGTACTTGGGTTCATACAATCAAACCTAACATACAAATCTAGGGTTCTCCATACCCAGATGAATGGGAGAACTACTCCATGGAGAAAGAAGCAAAAGCAGAATCAGACGCGGAAATCATACTGTGAAGGATGGATTTCTGCTCCTGGACGTTGATCGGCACTTCTCCAAGCTCAAGCCAAGCTCCAATGCTGATGAAGATCAAGCTAGGGCACTTGGGAACTCTTGCTCGTCGCTTTCCCTGTCTCTCTAAAACTCGAATCCCCTTCTGTTTTGGCTGAAATATGCTTAAAAAGGCATCACTGGGCAAAACACGGTCGAGGGCACAGCCGTGTTCAGCTCCAGCCCGCCGTGCCCTTGCCAAGTGTTAAATACACGGCCAGCCTTTTGGGGAAAACACGGGCGTGCTTTTGGTGTACACGACCGTGTTCTGTCTCAGTTCTGCCCGTGTTTTGAGCTAGTGTTTGCCAAACTCAGATCAAGTCTCGGCAGTAAAAGCACGGTCTAGGAACACGGCCGTGTTCTGATTTAGGCGTGCCCGTGTTTTGGCTCCAGCTCAACCGAATGACTTCCGAATGCCCCGAAACTCGTGCTTAGCCTTTCCTTTGACGCCTGGGACCTGAAATATGACAAAGTAGCACAACCCGACGTAAAATAGGCCAAAAATACACGACTATGCCCCTCAAACGGATAAGAACTAGGGGTGCAAATACGTGCAATTACATCGTTATCAGCCTGCTCACCTAGCAAAATACAACGCCCAAGAGCATCGTCAGTACCCGCACTCGTTATAGCAAGTGCGGTCTCAAAATCGGCAAGCACATCACAGTAATCTAAGTCATCATGCAAATGGGAGTGTTTCCCATTCTCGTACACAGAAAAAGTAGCATGTTCATCCCCAACACGCAAGATCAATTTACCACTATGCACATCAATAAGCGCCTTGGCGGTGGCGAGAAACGGTCTACCCATCCTCATTTATATCCAGAATAACAAAATCAACAGGATACGTGAATGCACCCACATTAACAAGCAGATCCTCTGTGATACCCCTAGGATGCACAATGGAATGGTAAGCTAACTGAATGCTCATCTTAGTAGCTCGTCCTGGGAGCAGGTGCTTCCTTTTCCATCCTCACTTCTGCATCGTCAGCTGGAAGTGTTGAGGCAGGTAGTGGCTCATCCTGCCTAGTCTGGGTAGGAGCA